GATCAGTTCAGTTTCGGTTTGGTGTTTTTGAAAAATCGAAGGACTGATTAAGTTTTTGGTTAACCTACAAGAAAACCAATATGTATATTTTATGTATTTTTAATATATGTCACATATTTTCTATATATTATGTATAAATATATTCATATATTATATTTACAATAATCTATTTATAAGTATATTATATATTTTTATAATATTTATAATATATTATATATCATTTATTATTTATAATATAATATTATACATATATTTATATAACATATATTATAAATATAAAAAACCGAAGAGCTGAATTGGTCAAAAAATGAAACCGACTGACCGGTTAACCGATGGTACCGGTTCAGTTTTGGTTTGGAGAAATGGAAAAACTGATGGTACTGATTCAGTTTGCAAAAGTGCTTTCATAAAAGTGTTTTCATTAAAGTATTTCCATAAAAAAGTCATAAAAGTACTTTCATAAAAGTGCTTTCGTAAAAGTACTTTTATAAAAGTACTTCCCTAAAAGTACATTTATAAAAGTGCTTTTATAAAAGTACTTTCATAAAGTGCTTTTATTAAAATACTTTCACGAAAGTACTTTCATAAAAGTGCTTTAGTAAAAGTACTTTTATAAAGTGCTTTCATAAAAATATTTTTGTAAAAGTGCTTTCATAAAATTTGAAAAAAAAATGATGGAATGCTTATTTAAGTGCTTATTGAAAAAAAAAACTACTAAACACCCAATATGAAATAAGTACTTATTTTTTAGGGTATATTACAAAGACCCCCCTGTACTACGGGGTCTGTGACAATGACCCCCTATACTTTGTTTTGCGACAAAGACCCCCCTGTACTATGACCATGAGACAAAGACCCTCCTTGACCGTTAAGTCAGATGATAGAATGCCTTAAATTACCAAAATACCTTACTAAAATTTTTCTATTTTCTTTTTTTGCCCTTTTTCTCTTAAAATCTATTTAACCTATTGTTTTCCCTTTCTTCTCTTCTTTTCCCTCCCTCACTGTTCTCTCTCATTCTTTCTCTCTCCCAACTCTTCGAAATGAAAGGATGGAGGAAATCCATTTCTCATCTTCCCTTTCTTCTCTTCTCCGTCTTCTCTGTCTTCGATCTTTTCCTCATCCTCATCATCGACTTCGTCTGCTTCCATGGCAACCAGGAGAGGAAGAAAAAAAGGACGGAAGGACTTGTAGTTGACCGAGCCGAAGACTCTCCTCGTACAGCACTTGTAGAGCCAGAGCCGGAGCCGCCTCCCCTGCAACACTTGCGGAGTTGGAGTCGGCATCACATCCCTACCTAAATACCCCGTCGCCGCTGCTAATCCTTCCTTTGCCATCAACAAGTCCTGCAACAATGGTAGCTACCGACGTTCTAGTTGGAAATCTAGAATTTCTAGGCATCTAGCCAACTACCAGTTAGGTTTCTAGTTAGAAATCTAGGTGGAATGACCATCTGAAGTTCCGAAGTGCTACAACTCAATAACTCAACTCATTGTTTTGGGTTAGATGGAAAAACAAATTCCTCAGACAATTTACAAGGCTTAATGATGTGAAAGCCCAAACAATGAACAATACTACCAATTGTGAGTTGTAGAGAAGTAGGATGAAGAATTTAAATGGTTAATTAAACTAACCTTGAATCGGAACTGATACAATGTCTCTTGGATCAACTGCCGCTTGTGGCAGGCCATTAATGGCCTACCAACTTTGCTACAGTCGTACCATACATCGCTCCGATGCTGCTTAAACTCTCCCCTGCATGCACTAAATATGACAAGTAAACTGTGTAATGCCATTACTAGTTTTATTGAAGCATGTGCACGACAATGGAATTACAAGGCTTTGACCACCAGTCGTCGTCCCTGGCCATCAACCCATTAATGCTCCTGATCTGCTATGCATTGGCTAGCCCACCATAACCAATCAATATTGACTCGATTGTGTCTGCAGCTCGAACCGTATAAGATGTCAATATGAAATGACGGATGTCATCTACACAGGAGCACGAAATGGGTATTCTGATGACAGAAATTTTGGGGAGGATTCAATTCTTAGGGAATGACATTGTTGGGTCAAGCGAGTTTGAGCCTAAGATGTCGAGTACATTTACTTGGAACCAAGATGCAATCTGAGAGCTTGGAGTCCCAAGGAAGGAGATAGGAGAGTAGAGAGGTACAGGAGTCAGAGGACTTACATGGTTCAATCACAAATTTTGCACAAGTTTTGGGAGGGAAGACAAGGAAGAGGGAGGTGAGTAGAATAGCAAGTGGTTGCACTAGAATTCCCATCGTATGATCTCGTATCAGTGAGTGTCTCTCCTCTCTATAACTGTAATTCTGTTAATGGTTTCACAGATCTAAGAGAAGCAATGAATAGATTATTGTGTTCATTGGTTTCCAAAGGCTCCACAAGGCATCGGAACGTTGTCCACAGCTCAACCCAATCCGGCTTAATCTCAAAGTCATCGGGCAGTTCATACGTCTTTAGCATCTCATAATTTCATCCCACATCCTTACTAACATTTGAATCGATGATTGTTTAGCTTCCTGAGAGCTATTTTGATTTTGCCACAGTTAGCCTCAATCTTTTGCATTTTTGGACGGAACGGAAGGTAGTATCCAAAGGTCGGGGAAGATGAACAGTGTTTTTCTCATCTAGTTATTATAAAGGTAGTATGGGGATTAAAAATATCATAATGGAATTTTTGGACGGAAGGCTAATGGAAGGGGGTTTTTATCTCACGGTCATAGTATAGGGGGGTCTTCGTCACAAAATAAAGTAAAGTATAGGGGGGTCTTTGTCACAGACCCCATAGTACAGGGGGTCTTTGTAATTTACCCTATCTTTTAAAATAAGCATTTAAAAAAGTTGGATGCTGAAGAATAAGCACTTATTTTAACATAAGCATTCCAAACATTAAGAGCTCTTATGATTACTCTGGAATAAAGCTTGACACCTACCTTGCATATAAAACTTGAGTCGAGATTTGGTGTGATACAAGTATGCAAACCTGGCTAAGTAACTAATCATGACTAATGAGTGAATAGGGGTGTAAGTCAGGCTGGTTTAAGTCAACCCAGGCCCAAACCTAAATATTGGGTCTAAGGCTTGTGCCTAAATCAGACCTGAGGTCAAGCCCGATCTTTCCAGTCCAGGCCCACTTGAACTGAAAATTGGCATACTCTGGTCAGGCCTAGGCTTGGGTTGGTCATTTGGTTTTCTATTTCAAAACAACAACAAAGAGCAAAGGGCTCAAGTGGCCTATTAAGCCCAGTGTATTAAAAAGTTGATAAAGTTATTTAGTTGTTTGGAATCGAAGTTGCAGATATAGCACCGTTTTTTGATGGTGATGCTGATGTGTGGGTTGGAAGCACCGTTTTCTGAGAAAATGATGTCTTTTTTTTTGTTTGGAAACGTTGCTGCCAGGTAGGACATTTTCTGGAGCAATTGCAACATTTTTTGTTTGGTACGAATGCTCTAGGAAATGTTTTCAGCACTGGTACCTATTACCCAATGCCACGTCATGTCCCTGTCACTTCCACCTCATGTCCTTGTTGGCAGCAATGAGCTGTAGCTCCAAGAAATGCCAAATTTGGTGTTGCTCCAAGCCACGCCTTCCCGATTTCCAAGGTGTGGCTTGGAGCACCGCTTTTTATGGAAAAACGGTTCCAAACAAGAAGGTGTTTCTTGGAGCACCATTTTTTCCGATGTGGCACTGATGTGTCACCGTTTTCTGGAGCAACAACATTGATGCCAAACAAACCCTTAGTATCACTAATGTATACCTTTAACTAGGAATTTTGTATATTCTGCATATAAGCATTTTTGCAGTCAAACCGAGCCAAGCTGAATTTGAATTTTTGTATGTCTTGACTCGGTTCAACTAAAATACTATTAAGCTTAAGTTTGAGTCAAACTCTACTTCCTAGTTTGAGATCGGTTCGATCAAATATTCAATGAGCTTGAAATCTAGAAAACAAATATTCAATGATATAATTTGTGATTATGTAATTATACCACATTCATAATTTATAATTCTTAAAATTTAAAACATAACTAGGACTATATTAAACTCAACAACATATATACTTATTTAATGGGCACATCTATTAAAATAACTCCTAAGTCTTAGGAAATTGATTAACTCTATTGCTATGGTTTAAGAATTGCCTTAAAGTACTCCTAACTTTATTGACAATTGACTAAATCCTTCCTTGCCGTTCACATGTGATGCCATGTGACATATAGAATCTTTTTAAAACCCAATATTACCCTCTTGTAGTTGATTTTGTCCCCCATTATTTTTCAAATTTCAAAATAAAACTAACATCCACCTTGTAGACAAGAATACAACCTTAAACCTTTACTCACTTGAAGGTTAAGAAAATAAAATGGAATTTCCCCATCGTTTCTTGTGATATTGAAGTAGATGGACATGGAGCTAGTAAGAGCTAGGATGGCATCCTCAAAATGTATTTTTTGGGTGGGAGATGATCCCCCCTTGTTCAACTGTTCAGAGGTACTCGTAGCAATAAATGGAGATGATCCCATCTAGTTTTTGGGTTGTAGATGGTTTGTTGAACATCTCTATCCATTGGACAGCTTTGCCAATGGAGAAAGTTTACGATGAGGAGAAGACTGACAAGGTGTTATTGTTAAATCAAGACCATCAAGGTGTTTTTCAAATGTTGCAAGTTTATTTAAATGTTTCATTTTGAAAATTTAAAGAAGAATGAAGGGTAAAATAGTCTTTTCCATCTTTTCATTAATAGATGCTAACAACAGGGAATATTTAGTCAATTGTCAGAAAATTTTGGGGTACTTCAAGGCAATTTATAAACATAAGTGAGTAAGTCAATTTACTAAAACTTAGGGGCAGTTTAAGAGATTTTCCCTTATTTAATTTGATTCTTAATGTTATGGAATAATTATTCAAAAAAAGATTCAATGGATAGACCCTGGAATTGACCCTAGAACCATCAAGGCTAGAACTAACCCTCCTATACAGTAGGTTCCAAAAACCTATAACTGACCCTTATACGGTAGGTTCCAAGTTCTTCTTTGCAAGGCATGTTTACTTTCCCATCTTCCTCTACTTTATTTATCCTAGTTTGCACAATATCTTTCTCCATTTTCCCTTCCTTTAGGTTTTGTGCAGGTTTGTCCTCACCTTTCCTTTCTTCCACACAAACACTCTCCTCCTTGCCCTTCCATTTTTTGATATCTTGTTTCTCTATTTGAGCAGGACCCTTCTCCTCTTCTTTCCTTTCTGAGCTTTTCAAGTACAAAAGATACTGCTGAGCAGGGTCTTCAAGCAACAATATCATGGAATTTAGCCAATGCTTCCATCCATTATGAGGGGAAAAACACTTTTTAAGACGATCAATGCGATAATCAAGAAATACATCAAGAAGGTCATCATGGTCATCAACCTTCATCCTCTTCCCATTTCCAAATAATAGTATATCTCCCAAGCCAAAATTGTGATGTCTAAAATGCTGCCTAACCAATCTCAAGAGACGTGAAATGACTTCCATTACTGCAATATTAGTAGGGGCACATGTAAGTGTTCTGCATTTCAACCTTAGGAATTCCCAAAGCAATACACTAACTGTCTTTGTTTTCCCAGTACCAGGGGGACCCCATATAAGTTTAACTGAGCTCTTATGTTTGTAATTCCTTGTCATAATAGATCTTGCCACAGCCTTACTTTGAGATCCATTGAGACTGAATGAGTGTAAATCTGCAAGCAACTTTTTCTCATGCAAGTTGTCATCTTGTGTGAAGCAGTGATCACAATTTGCTCCAACCTGAAAATAAAGTAAGCAAGCATAGCCAGAATCTATAAACCATCCAAAGCAGTTTTTTTCCTTTTTCAAATTTTGGTTTCCGTTTTATCAAGATCCTAATAAATTTTAGGTAGAAAAAGAACACTGAAAAGCAGAAAAAGGAAACAAGCTGCCTATCCAAAAACAAGGTCAACTTGTACTAATTTTTTAATGCTTCATATTAAATATTTTACCACATAAATGCTCTTCTAAGGACCATTATGCAATCAAAGTTCCAACTATCTGCTGTCTTCAGAGGGGTGAACTTCTCCTATAAGTTTATGAATTATGATATCTTCATTATAGGAGATGATGTAGAGGGAACTCAATCCTTGTGGTCATTACTACACCACTCTCTCAAAGTGAAGGATTTCTTACTATTGACTTGTTTTCTTGGGTTGGGGCACACTACTCCACTCATGGATATTTGATAAGCTAAAAGAAAATATGCAATGGATTTCATATCATTGGTGAGCTTGTTGCAGATCATAAACTCCGTTGTTAGCTTCTTGGGAGTTCATCCATCTTACCATGACTCATCCAGACATCTACTATGTTTAAGTTGTAGGTCAAGTTGTGTTTGCTCAATGCTGATATTACCTCAACAGTTGTTTGTAAGATCATCTGTTACCTAAGACACTACATCCAGAAGGTTATATTTTTCCTTCTCCCCTTCAACTTTGAGATGCCAACACAAAATGGGCATAGTGTCCTATTACAAGCCGGTTTATATTACTTGGTTGCCTGATTATTTCTTGGATTTGTAATATGAAACCTACAATTTCCTAATTTTCATCAAACAGAGCCATTTTTCCACCTGTAGTAAAACTATTTGGCTTACAGGATTGTTTGCTAAATTAGATATGACGTTTGTTCCCCCAACTCCTTGATATGATAGAAACATGAATAATAAAAATGCTTTCAACTAAGTTTTTCATCAACATACCAAATACATTGAATTGGATTACGAATTTGTGTGTGAATGATACTTGGCCAGGATTATTTTCTCCATATAGAATCAGATATCCAAATTGCAAATACTACTTTTAATGAGATGTGAAGAAAACACAGCTTAAGGTTGGTATGTTGTACCATTTTAGTGTAAGATAAGTTGCATACTAGCACAAGGGTACATACATCTGATTTTCTTTCTATTTTCTAATAGTTCTTATTAATGTATCTAAGAAACTTGAAATAAACCTCAATGTGTATATAAACCAAATTAAGCAATGGTTATTTCTAAGTTGAATACCTGATCATTATTATAGTTTCTTGATTTATTTTTCCACATTTTGGCATGCTATCTTTTTGATTTGGATAAAAAAAATTATAGTGGATAATGCAGGAAACTTGCAAGCGAAGATCCTTACAAATAAATATATATACATATTCACATTTCACATCTATTTTAAATGTTTCAATCATGTTAGTAAAACAAATTCAGTATTAATTCAATCTATCTTATTCTTCTATAAATTTGACTTCTCACTTCTTTCCACATTCAGATATTTTTCTTTTATATTAACATTCTAACTCTTACAAGCCTCACAACTTGGCAAATAACCAGGGTTGGAGAAGATTTTCAAGAGAAAAATAAGTGTCAGGAGTCATCCTCATTTTCCTTGGGAAATAGCCAAAATTCCTTGGTCAATAGGACTGAGATCTGTGGTGGATCGTAACCTCACCAAGGTGGTGGTGGATGGTGACTACAAGAATGTAATCAAATGAACGAGAAGTTCTAAGGGGGATTCTTGGAGAACTGTATTTTTTAATGAGTTCTTGAAACCCAAGTCTATTGTGATCTTATCATTTTGGATGGATTCCTAGAGAGCTGAATTGTGGAGCTAATGGTTTGCCCAAATCAGGGGTTGGGAGCGATTTTATAGCAAATCCCCAATGCCTTGTAAATTCCAGGGAGGTCTTTTTTGGTTTTGGTCATGTTTGCAATTTCTGTACATCTCATGTACATCCATTTCCCTCCTTTTGTAACAACCAAAGTTGTTCAAAAGAAAACTTCATATGTTATCCTTTAGAAGATATCCATGATCAATATCTAAGCCTCGGGAAGTATTAATGTGCCTTGCAATGGTATCTATGTCATTTGGACCTTATGAACAAATTAAGTGAAAAAGTCCATAAGAAAAATTATTTCTTCATGTCCCAACCCTTCAGTTTTCTTTTCTTCTTTATCACTTCTTTGTTTTTCTCTTCGGTTGATACAATTAAGTATGTTCTTTGTTACTTGTGCAATAGATTTATTTATTTATCTTTGAGTAGGATTTATTTCCAAGTAACTAAAGAGTAAAAAATACTTGGAAATAAATCCTATTCATAAATAGATAAATAAACCTATAGCATAAGTATCTAAACACTAAATAATAAGTTGGGCTTCAAAAAGAAAGGACTAAAAAATAAGTTCTGCACCACAACCCTCAAATTAACAAATTCTAGCTAGAAAGAAAAAAAAAAAAAAAAACATCTGAACTCAACAACGCCTTGATTCCAACTGTTTGGGATCAATTAGATGAATCTTGTTTTTTTCTATCCCAGTAAAAAACAAAACCCACCAAAAGTAAGACCATTAGAAATAAGTCAATAAATCAAAACCCTTTTATCATTATTTATTAAAATTTCTAAATGGTTGATTATTAAGTAGAGATTGTTTCATAAAAGATTTACCAACCAGATAAAATTGAAATAAGTAGGTAAGGTAAAATTTACTCCAGAACCAAAAGAAACAGGACATAAATCCTAATGACACCATTTAAGAACCAATGAATTAGTGAAATAGCTTATACTTGGTCATAAATGAGAATATTACTATTGCATAACAAAGGAGGAAACCAATTGATAGAATGCAGTTCTGCAAAATAGCTTTACAAGTATATAAAATAATAAAAAAGAGTTTGTAAGGCTTACAATTGAATCAGTGCACAACTCTTCCTTGATGATATTCATGTTTCCCTTGTGGATGTCAGAGTTCAATGCTTCCCATATTCGTATATTTGTTGTCATGTTTATCAAATAGACAGCAAAAAGAGTCGGACTATTGTTCTGCCTTTTTTGCTCAATCACAATTTCCTTTGACGCTCGGACGTCGATTCTAAGAGGATTGTCTCCATTTCCCCCACCAGTGACTAATGCAAGAATATAGGATTTTTTGGTTCCACTAAGATCAGCAATGGATTGAGGTTTTACATCTGACAACACAATAAGATCTCCATTCCCAGGTTCATACATTCTTTTGTCATGCTTACCATCCATATTTCTATTTTTAAGTACAATGTTATAACACAAATCATTGGGTGGCTTGTCTTTTGTAATTCTCTGAACAGACAATATTTCACATACAGGTGCTTGAGCTATACCCAGAAAGCTTGAATTTAAATCAGCATGTGTCTCCTCAATAAGAGGGAACCTATATGACCTTAAGTAATGCTCTATTGACAAGAATGTCTTGGGGATCTTCTCCACCTGTATAATAAAGAGAAAGGAAGAATTGGTTCCAAAGAGATAAAAAGTTTGCAAAAATTGATTTAACAAGTCATATAATTCTGATCATACCACCAATTTACAAAACACTAACTCATACATGCATACATATCTATGAGAACTTACTTGGTTCTGATCATACCACCAATTAACAATTCATATGATTACAACAACCAATGAATTGGATGACCAATAGAAATGTGATTCATGTCAAACACATGCAGCAGTGAATCCAAAGAAAAGAGACCCAAAATGCATTAGCAACAATACAGCAGGTGGAATATGTTTTCATGAGGTATTGCCAACTTCATTACCTACCAGTGGATGTGTGTCAAGTAAGAGGATTTTCTACACTAAAATCCAGCATCATCCAAGGAGTTAATGAGGAGTTATCTAAATTGTCATATTTTTTCTGATATTCAGTTATAAAAAATAACATAAAGAATTGCAACTGTGTTTCAAAGTATTGGCCTAGCTAGGCTCAATCAAGTTCAAGTTACGGTCAGGCACTAATTATATCATGTTTGTCACAATGGCCCAATGCCCCAACTTGCAACTCCAGTCTTCTAGGTTTTCCCCCTATTATGACTACAACAAGCAAGCATTAATCCTGATTTAAAGAATTTTCATCTACAATACATTAGCCAATCTCAATCCCTTGTGTAGCTACGGGTGGTGATCTAATGAGCACTCACCACCTAATGAGCACTCTTACTAAGCACCTCCTATCTGTTAATTAAACATTCATTTGATTGACAATAGAAAGAAATTTACTGTCCAATCCAATGAGTGATGAACAACAGTAGCTTGCTCCATGATTTAAGGAAAGTGCTTATTGAATCATCATTCTCTATCATCTCTCCCAATCCTGAACATGTGGCACATGGAAAATTACACTCCATTAGATCTAGTCTTCTGTCCCCAAGCATCTATAGGCACACATATCGGGCTAAAATTATATAGTTAGGTGATACCCAACCTTTTAGGGTCTGTTCATTCTTTGGACTTTCAGAGGAGGAATTGGTCAATGGGATTTTGGTTCTCATTGACCAAGAAACCCATTTTCCTTTTTTCAAATTTATGTGGGGACCAAGGAAAATTTATTTTCCTGGGCATCACTTACCCGAGCAAGTTATACGTACCCATCTCCCAGGTGGGAAAAAATACCCATTTTAGTAATGGTTTTTTATATCTAAAACAGGCATTGCCTTATGTACCTAGGAAATAGAAGAACATGGGTAAGTGAATTTACCAAGAAAATACTTACCCGGTTAAGGATTTTTTTTAAAGCACCCGGGTAAGTAAGTTACCAAAAAATGAACAGGGCCTTAATAGGGATCCATGCAGCAATTTACTGTAAATCCTTGAGTCTTATCAACTTGAATTTTTTGAGTAAAATAGCACACCTGGTAATATGAGAGCCAATGATTTCTGGCCCGAAAATAATGCACTCCTATGATATGATATAAAACAAAATGGCAAAAGTTTGAATGATTTTATTTAGAGATATGCAGGTGGGCCTCTCCCATCAAATTTTCAAAAATGCTCAACCTTAGCCCCTTCCAAGTTGGACCTCTATTTTTATTTGACATATTATTTGTGCCTCTTGTTCATGATCTTTTTATAAATAACTTGCTATAAATTTCTGCATCAATTCAAAAGGAATGGGAACCACCCAGGATGGCTTCATCAAATTAAAATTTAATGAAAGTAGTCTAAGTCAGTGTGGAGTGGGAGGGGTCTTCATGAATAAAGGTTAAATTGTGCAGCTTTGTTTACTGGTCTTATTGGGCTAGGAAATTCTGGAAAAAAAAAAAAAACAAACACAAATTTTAATAGGTTAATCATTGAAGGAGTCTATAAGGTGGTGCAGGTTGGCTGGTTAAAGAATGAAGAGGAAGCAATACGGTCTCACAGATTTATGCTTAAGAAGATCAAATGGTTAAAAAGGAAAATGGACACAAGAATACTAACCTGCATCCGATTACTCTAACTTAATTAATTAACTTAGCTAAAATAACTTGATAATTTATGAATTAACAACTTAATTATTTAATTAAGTTAAGCCCTTGATTAAACTTAAATAAATTAATGACTTAATACAAATTAACAAAACCTTTTAATAAATTAATGAAATAAAATTGTAAACACAAATTTTAACCCATATAAGTTCTATTTAATAAAATAAAAAAATTAATACAAATATATTGAACAATAATAAAATTAAATCGATAACCATCATAATAATTAACCAAAAATCAAGAAAATTAGAAAAACAAATACAAATTTATCTAAAAATACATAACCCAAAACTCATATTTGAGTTGTGGACTCAGTTCGGCAGCCCAATTAGGAAATGTTATAAGGCTTCTTTTACTGTGAACAAAGCCCACGGGTCCCAAGTCCCAACCCAACTACTATATGATATTTTATTATAAAGAAAAGCGTCTGATGGGAGTTTCCGTCCACCTCCGGATCTACCAAAAAGCCTGTCAGTGAAGTAGTTTTCAATATTGGTCATCACTTACCACAGCACAAAAGCAAGAAAACTACAGTCTCATTCCAGACTATCAACTTCCAACTGATATGACAGAATGCAGGACTATGATCCATCCTGATCAAATGGCTGGGCTACAAGAAACTAAATGGGTCTCCCATCCATTTGGACAGTCTGGAACTCTAAGAACTCTAAGAACTCTAGAACTCCAGAATTAACTCAGTGTGTGTCTGTGTAATGTACCTTTCCTTTCAACAGTTGGCCATTAAGTACATCTCTGAGAGACCAAGAAAGCACCAAGTCCACCAAAGTTTCCTTCATCTTGTTTTTACTGCATTATAACAACAACAACAACAACGTTAGCAAAAGAGCTTGGCCCCAAGTCTTTCATTCACGAACAGTCTCACCTCTTTCCTAACTACTGTATGTATATGAAGTAGTGAAAAACACAAAATCGAAGCTCTCTCTCTCTCTCTCTCTCTCTCTTAAATTTTGATTATGCGTTTCATATTCCATGCAAATGATACCTATCAGTGTGGCGGAAGTCAGAACGTTTAAGAGAAAATATTGATTCATACTTTTCTTAGAAAAAGATGATAATAGCGGGATTTGAAGGACAATTCATTCAATGCATCAATTGAACCATCCTAGCTTCAATTCGTCACTTTTACATGTCACTAAAACGTTTATAACCATTAACATGCATTGCACACGTATTCAAATTTGAATCCCATTAATTAAAAATTTTAATATTTGAATTTAAATTCAATTATCTATTAATTATTTTAGGTATTAGTAAATAGATAAAATAAATATTTTATTTATATAAATATATAAATTATTTATATAATTTACTTATTTATATAGTACATAAAAATATTTAAATATTTTATATATTATATATAATAATTAAGTAATGGTCAATTTCAGATATTTATTAAATGGAACCAAGTTATATCTAAATTTGATTTATTCATGTCGAATCTTGAATTCGAAATCGGATTTTCAAATATCGTTGGCACCCCTAACTACTAACATGCAACACCATATAACCCAAAACAAGACACTATTTCAACAAAGATGTATTGACAATAATCAAAAACAAGACACACATGTGCAAGTCCCGTAACAATTTGAGATGGAATTTGCAAAAGGTATTCAACAAAATGTTGATAGGGGACAGAAAGAAGGAACAGGAAAATCAAGTAAACCTCATCATTATGTGATCATCGTGAGATTGGAATCCATGACAAGGTGCACTTAATTTTTAGTAGATCCTCCCAATGGAGTTAGAAGGATATAATTGACTTCTATAAAGGATCTCTTCCAATTAACTCAATATTGGATGTTTTACTATCAGCTAATTTAGGACTCTAAATGGTGTGTATTCTGCAACCAAGCTGGTAAAACCCTTAATCTTTTTTTTTTGTTTTTTTACCATGATTAAACTAGAAGAATATAGCAGATAGTGCTAGAGCCAAAGTTATATTGTATCGGCCTGTATCGTGCTGTAATTTATATTCTTTTAGGGTTTTTTTTTTCAAATTGATTCAAGGGATTTTCAGGGGTATCGGTTAGCTTAAGGCCCGTCTACCCCCTGAATCAGGTCAAACCCCAAAACACCTGCTTGTAATAGCCTAATATGGGTATATCGGAGGGCCGCCGATATGGGCCTTGGATGGAAGAGGTTAATTGGATTAAGGCACATTTCAATGATAAGTTTCTAGCAGATATTCTTCCTTGCCAGGTTTTCTGCAGCACTATTTGTGGTACACAGGTTGCAGTAGATTTTTTGTAGCTGTTGAAATAGTTCAAGAGATTTATCTGAAGGGTCAGGCCTTTCAAGTAGCAAAGCATAACCAGGCTCTTTCTGGTTATGTTATAAGATCTTGGTTGTGGGGTGTTTGGGGTTTGCCTTTGGTGTGGGGTGTTTTCAGCCAATCTCTTAATTTGTTTTATGTTTGCATTCTTGATTGTGGTTTTGGTGTTTGGAATGTGGTTGGGTGTCTGAATCTTAAACTACTACAATAAATTTTGGGCCTAGCATCCTTAGGCCCAAATTGCAACTCCTAAATAGTGTTGAACAGGCAATTGAATAGGACTAGATCCATATTGGAACAATGAGTTATGAATACTATGACCCCAACACGGTGTATCAGATCCATGGTATTCATGACAGGCTTGGAAGCCTTATTCAAATTGGATAGAACCTACTTCATCTAAGCTTATCATGCTAAGTAAGGAAAATGGCATGGTCAATTTGAGCCATCCATCAAATAAGGGAACTTTTGTGGTGGTGTTTAGGGTTTATGTTGTTTTATGAGAGGCGTTTTCTCAGAAAATGGCGTTGTATAAGCATTGTTGTTTTCTTAGAAAACGTTTTTTCAAGTTTTTTTTATTTGATATCATTGTTATTGTTGTCATATAGGCATTTTTCAATATCATGTCAGCATGCTGGTGCTAGCAACAGTAGAAAAAATAGGAAAATAGGAAAACACACACACACAAGAAAAAAGACATTCCTTTCACAATTTCCAATCCATGGTATGAGAAAACGTATTTTGGAAAAACAGTTAACCAAATAGTAGACATTTTTTTTCCGAAAAACAGATTTCTGATGTGGTGCTGATGTTACACCGTTGTCTGAGAAAACGATATTAATGCCAAACACCTACTATATTGTCAAACGTTCAATTTGTGTTGCTCCAATCCATGGTTCATATTGATACATGTTGGTATAAAACTATGACTGAAATACCAAAATATGCATAGTAGGAAATACAAATCAGCCCCCCACAATGTCCCACACTATATCTCTGCCTTGTATTGGGAACATTTCCCAATGATTACATCATCATTTACAATATGATATGTTCCCCATGTGTGACTGCAATCATGGGTAGGAAATCCAAAAATATCCAAAGAAAGTGCAGTTTCTATGGTACTGGAAATATATGTATCTGAAAAATCTTAATCAATCAGAAACCTACATGAATTTGAATGAATAACAGTTGATTGGTTATTAATCGAATGATGCCGGTTATTTTTTCTTTTCTTTTTCAGTTTTGTATGGGTACCATACCATACCATTTCGGTACCATTGGACTAAATAAAAGGCTTTTTAGTAAGTAACTTCCCATGAGGGTAGGGGGAGAATTGCCAACACTTAGAAGGGAGAAAATTGCACTTTTAATAATGGTTTTTTTTTATGGCTAAAAATGGCCATTGTCTTATTTACCCCATATCCATGTTTGTTTTTCTCACTAAAATAACAATGATTAAAATTATTCTTTTACCCCATATCCATGATAACATGTCATGTATAGAAAGCACTCAAACAACCAAGCCTTTCAAGCTACAATGGAGGAGTCATGAGCCTTTTCGGAGTCTGGTTAATTTTTTTAATTTTCTCTTACTTTTTTGAAACAAAATAATCTGAAAATAGGGTCATTTGCTAGAATACTCCTATAGTTTGACTGATTTACTTAAACTTAAACTTATCCTATAGTTTCATTTCACTAAAGCACCCTCTATAGTTTGCAAGCTATTTATTTAATCAACCTTTGACTAAGAGTTGTTTGTTTCACCATTTGAAAATAGTAGTATTATACGAGGTTTTTAAAATCAGACCGAACATGGAGCCATTATCGAGACTGGTTCCTGGGTTGAACAATTTGACTGTCTAGTTCTTCAAACAGACAACCCATTCTGACTTAAAAAATAAAAATAATAATAAAAAACAGAAAAAACCATTGTTTGGGTCGACGATTCAAGCGCTCAAGCTAGTGATTTGCTAACCAAATCAACGATGCGATTGTCTAGTCTTGTCCGGTTTTGAAAACCATGGTATTATCACTTAAACTGAGTGGAAAATGTTCAAGGGCATGATCCCATGGTTGTTTATTTCAAAAGTACCCCTAACTAGGGATGTAAATAAATCGGATCAGATTCAAATCAAGGTATATCTGAATCTGATCTGACACTCTGAAGATCTGATTAGGTTTGATAGAGATGGATCTGAATTCGAATCCAATAGGAAAGTCAAATATTCAGATCTAATCTAATCCGATTTGTTTTCTTTAAAAGTTAATAAATTATTAAATGAAATATGAAATATGTCAATTTAAATAAAGAAAAACAAAAAATACAAGTATTTTTTAATTATTTTCAACATATATATACATGTTTTTTTATAAAAAATAAATAATATAACAAATTTAAAAAATACAATATAAATAATATATTTATAAATAAATAAAATATATATGTATTATATATATTTATATAAATAAATATATAACATATATATATCGGATTGGATGGGGGGAGGAGGGGTGATCCAAATCCCCTAACACTTCTTCATACAGAAAACAAAATTGACCAAATAGAACCAAATAGAGTGGCTAATAGACAGGTCAACATTGCTTATATATTATTAAGGGCAAAAATGGCATTTTCATTTTATTTTCTTTTGATTAAATTTATTCAAATATATATTAAGGTCAAAACTATTATTTTCTACTATCATCTAATGGAAGGTCGATTAAGTAAACTGATTGCAAACTATAGGGCATATTTTTAGTAAAACACAAACTAGAAGATGGGCTTTATTAAATTCATAAAACTATAAGGGGTGTTTTAATAAACAACCCTTGAAAAATATTTTGCACGGGAACAATATAGTTTAAAATTCATTTTTTGGGCATAGTTTAAAATTCATTGAAACAATCAAAACCAAAAACAGACAAAACTCTATCCGATCGTATTTTGATTCTGATGAGTAGACTCAGTACGTAATTGAAATCACTCTATTATTACTCATCAAGTCAACCAAGTCAACTTGAGAAAGTGCCAGGAACTACTTTCCATAGAGCAGTTTATCGCTTTATCTTTCTTTAAGCTATGTTTGGTTTGAGAGAAAATAAGAGAATTTTAACACATTTTGTCAAATTCCCTATAACTTAACTTCTTTCTCATTTTCCATCAAACCAAACATAACCTTAATAATCGAGCCTAAACGATCAAGGATTCATTGACTGTACTCGGTACTCACTTGATGGTGTAAACTTATCTCATTTTAACCAATTTTATTAGGGTAAATTTCTGAAACCTCCCCTGAAGTCTCTGACTGTTGCTAAAACCTCCCCTAAACTTTTTTCAAACACTTGCAAGTAGACCCCTTTTGTTGGAATCTTTTAAAAAGAGAAACAAAAATGTCTAAAATATCCATACAGTTACTACTAAGGTTGGTTTATACAGAAAAACAATACAAACTTTATAAACAATAAGAAATAGAGAATATAAGGCTGCAGCTATACATTTGGGGGATTGATATGAAGGGTGATTTTGGAAAATAAATCTATTTCAGCAAAGATATTAGAAGGATTTGGACTAGCGATTCATATGAAGAGAAAATTAGAAAATAAACATTTTAGTCAAAAAAAACTACATGGGTATTCTAGATATTTCATACATTTTTTTAGAAGATTCTAACATAGGAGGTTCTACTTGCAACTATATCAGAAAGTTCAAGAGAGATAATTATAACTATCAAATTTTAGAGGAAATTTCAGCAACATCCAGAAATTTGGAGGGTGGTTTAAACATTTTACCCATTTTATTAACTAATTTATATGTATATGTCCCTTCAAATTCACTTTGTTTGCCATTTTCGTCCAATCAAAGCTAATATAACAAAGCAAATAGTAGTTCATTAAAGAATGGACAATTAATAATTCATAATCGACCCCAAGTTAGTCAGAGCAGCATGGACTACTTGACTCTTGATTATCTCATGCAAGCAAATCTTCTCGATCAAACTAAAATATTAAAGCAAAATGAAACTAATATAAAATGAGAAACATACAGGCTAGCTACAGCAGCAAGAAGAAAAAGAGGTGAAAATGAAAAACCTGATTGTATTAGAGCTCATAGTTGAAAACTTGAGAGAGAAGCACCCAAACGACTAAGCCGACAATTAATCTTCTTCTTCCACTTTTATTTTTTTCCCTGAGACAAATATTTAAAGCACAATTCCAATTTCAGCTTCTAAACCCAGTTGAGAGAGAGATAGCTTTCATCTTAAGGAAAGTAAAAAGGAGAAAGATTAGGATCTCCATTTCTTCAGGGACAAATATATATACAGGAACTCTGGAAGCTTTTCCTAATTCCTAAGGCATTTCTTTTTCTCGAAGATGGTTTGCATTACTCTTCTTTTGAAAAGAAAATGTTGACAAAGTCGGTAGATAGTACAGAAATAACTTTTTTTTTTGTTGTTTTTTAATTTTCTTTTTATAATATAATAATAACTAAAATCAATTTTTAGTAATACGGATCCATGCGACATTCTTTGAACATAATCTTCTATGAATGGTTTCGTGTATAATTCGTTTCGATTCTAAGGCTCAGTTTCGAAGAAGTATAAATGCAAATTTGTATAGTGCAAAACCTTGTATTTTATATTATTTTGTATGTATTTGAATTGTACATATTTGTATTTGTACTCCTTCCAAACTGAGCCTAAGGTGAAATTCGGAATTGACCTCATCTCGGTTTTAGGTTTTTGGAACTAGAATTTATCCTGTGAAAGTTAATTTTATGGTTGGTTTTGACTTTGGCAGTTCTAAGATTAAATCCAAGGTATATCTATAAAACCCTATTCTTTTTACCCACCCAAGAAAAATAGAACATGTTATTTGTAAACTTGATTTTCAATAATAATAATAATAATAATAATAATTGCTGAAACTTCCCCCTAAAGTTTGGTAATTGCAATACATAGTTGCAACTAGACCTCCTTTGCTTTTGGTAAGTAGACCTCCTTTGTTAGAATTAGGGGTGCAAATGGATTGGATCATGATTCGCTCCTATTTGGTTGAATTCAGATCACCCCATTTCGTATATTCGGATCGAATTGAATCGGATAATAGGATCTGACCAAAAATCATATCGGATTCGGATCACCCCCTATCCAATCCGATATATTATATATTTATAAATATAAATATTTATATGTTATTTTATTTATTTATAAATATATTTTTATAAATTTGCTATATTATTTATTTTTTATAAAAATGCATATATGATGAAAATAATTAACAAATACTTATATCTTTTGTTTTTACTTTATTTAAATTATTATATTTTTTTGTAATAATTTTTTAACTTAAAAAAAAAAGTTGGATCGGATCAGATCTGAAAATCCAACTTACCAATAAGCTTCGAATTCAAATTAAGTCCTATCAGATCCGATTGGATATGACATGAACAGTGTCATATTGGATTCAAATATATAGAATCCGATCCGATCCATTTGCATCCCTAGTTAGAATCCTCTAAAAAAAGGCATGAAAATATCCAAAATACCCATATAGTTATTTTTGGCCAAAATGTTTGTTTTGTTTCCAAATTTTTTATTCCTATGAATCTCTAGCCAAAACCCTCCCAATATCTTTTTCTAAAATTGATTTATTTTCTAAATTTGCCCTAAGGTAAAGCTACGACCTTTTTTTATTAGCACCACCGGGAGAGGGCCCCACCAGCAGCATTCAAGAGGATAAAGAAACTAAGATCCCACAGGCTTTCACCTTTCAGAGATGATGTCTTCTTCATGCTCCACTCCTCTGCTCGCTAGCCAGTCCGCTGCTCTATTTCCTTTAATTAGGCATGCAGTTAACCATCCTCTTGCACTCGTACGTCCAGCATCGACTCACACGCCCACGGAGTCTCGAAGGCACCTGATGATAAGTAGTGGGCCGGATCTCCTTCAAACCGGATGGAAGAGAATGGGTTTTGGGATAGGATGATGGTTAGAGCCAGTTTGTATGGGTTGGTTACACTATCATGATCTCTGTTAGTTTCTAAGTATTCTACTAGATATATAGGATCGGGCTTGAAGCGATCGATACCCTTAAGGCCTTAAAGATTTTTTCATTTCTATTTTTCCATAGGTACCAAAACAGTGATGACTATTTTTTTTAAGAAACTTCTCGGTTTAACCTTTGCCTAGCAGGTTCTTCTTTATAAAGTTTGTATTGTTTTTGCATAGAAACGATATTCAATAGTAATACAAGGGTATTTTGGACATTTCCGTGCCTCTTGTTAGAGGATTCGCAACTGTGTTAAAAAGTTTAAGAGTGATTTTAACAATTTATCCTAATAATAATAATAATAATAATAATATAGTTGAAATTTTATATTATCTTTATTGATTAAATTTTATAATTATAAATTAAATTTTGTAAATGTTACCTTTTTTATTACTTATTATACACATTAATTCAAATATTAAAATAAAAAAAATGACCAAACCAATTAAGTGACCTAACGGTTAGTGAGACCATGACCTTTTGTAATCATGAGTGTTGGGCTCAAATCTTCACATCCTAAAAGTATTTTGAGATTTATTTCAAAGAAAGTTTGGTTCAAAGGATATTTTTACTAAGGGCAACCAAAGTTTGTCCCACCTAAGCCAACCAAGGTTAGTTCCCTAGGCCTGTTCGGGTAGAGTAAACCCCTTGGCCCTGGAACCCACCTAGGTGGGGATCAGTTCCAAGAATTCGGAACTAGACCCTACACAGTAACAAATTGAGTAGGATCAATTCAAGGCCAATTTGAGGTAAACTCCATTCAGTTCTATATAAAACCTACACATTTGCTCACCCCTAATATATAGGGCTCTAAACAGGTCAATTTCAGCTATATCTAAAACCAAGCATATTATTGAATTTGGAAATCAAAACCCAAAATGTTAGACTCGAAGCAAACTTGGATTTAATCCAATTCCACTCTATTACTATTACCACTAAAATAAATAAAAAAATTAATTATTTTTTAATTTATACATATATAGAAAACTTATATAAATATAAAATATCACAATATCCACGTGGACTTCTTTCTCTCCTTCAAAACTCACTCCAAAATCCCCTTTAGATTTTTTTTTTTAATTTTTGAATTTTTTATTTCATGTAATACCCACGTTCAACCACTCACCTGTCAGACTTTCTCACCCCCAACTAAAAGTTTTTCTAAAGTCTCTCTCTCTCTATCTATCTATCTATCTATCTCTCTCCACACAAATCATGATATTTAAGGGAAACTTGCCTAAAACAATATCTCCTACTCCTAAAACCTCACCTAAAATATCTCGCACTCCTAAAGCCTCTCCTAAATTACTCCATTCAATTAACTCTCATGTTTCCTTCTCTCTCTCTCTCTTTTCTTCTAATTGCTCTCCCATTCCCATCATTAATCAGGACAATAAGAACGACCCTAACCCAAATTAATTATTAATTGTGACAATCGGGTCTGACCTGACCCAATTATACTTGACTCCTATAACTACCAATGATAAAGCAATTTAGAAATTTCATTTTGATAATCTAACCTTAAGAAAAGTGAAATTTTAGATTAAAATAAAACAATAAATTACAAAACAGGGATCTTTATATTATTAACTATATAATTGGTTCGAGTCTTAATCAATCCAAAACACCAAAATCCAAGAACCAATTTAAACCCATTATTAATTGGGACAAAACCACATAACCAAACCAATGGCCGGTTCAATTTTTTTGGGTAAAATCAACCTATTAACAGCCCTATCTACTAAACTAGTTTTAAACAAGTTTTGACATATTGCTAGAAACATTAAAAAAAAAAAAAATTGAATAGACGATGACATGGGTTATGCAAAATAATTGGTCGGGTCTTAATCAATTCAAAATAGCAAAAGCCAGTTTCAACCTATTATTAATTGGGACAAAAGTACATAACCAAAGCAACATAACTGGTTTGGCTGGATCAATTTTATTAGGTAAAACTCAACCCATTAACAATCCTATTTACTTAACAATATTATTTTTCAAGTATGCTTAATCCATTTTACTAGTTAGGTGAAGAAGGCAACCAATATTGGGTCAAGATTGGCCCATTTCAACCTATCCACATTGAGCATGGCCACTGTGCTCTTCACAGTTGCGGGTAATTTATTCCCAGTATATGATCCATCTTTGGGATGGTTATTCCTTGCCTGTCCAATATTAAAAAATACCAATATACCATGTTGGATACAATTTATGGCTAGATCAATTTGTTCATAGTTGTCTGACCAACAAACATGTTAGAAGCAGTTATGAACCCGATTTAGCTTGGATTGTAAATTAATAAAAGTATTAACACAAAAAAATATATTTTAAATTTCATTTGTGATGAATTATTAATAATAAGATAATCATTAAAAATTTCATTAAAAAGATGAAAATAGATTTAGTTATGGTTTCAAATAAACAATTAAAAAAATAAATTGGAATTTCAAAAATTACAATAAATAAAATTACAATGTTTATTAATTTAAAATCCATTTAAAAATAATTACATTAATAAGCCTATAAAGTCAATCAAGAAATTTTAAAGTTAATTTGTTGGATTGGAGTCGGATTTCTTTTAGCCTAATTGGGAATGTCATACAGATCCTTTTACTTCAATTTTGCTTTACAAAGTTTATGCATTGCATTGGTCTATAATATTATTATAAAAATCAAAGAAAATACACAAGTGTAATGTTAGATAAAATAATATAAATTTCTACCTGTTTATTAATAAAACAACCAAAAAGTAAGAAAACTTTGGTTTCAAAAAGTAAATATTTTATTTTGATATTCAATTACATTAAAAAATAAATTATACTACATATTTGTTCATAAACTTAAAAAATTATTAGTTTGAAAAACTTAATTACTATAAATTTAAAATCCACTAATCCATTTAAGTTTAACAAAAATCAATACTAAATAAAAATTTTGTAAAATTAAAACAACCTAATAAAAATAAAAACTAATAGAATTAAAAATGTCACAATGCTCCTTATATGGGTGCAACATGGGTGGGTTGGGTCGAGTTGAAGGTTAACCCTAAGTCTCAAATTTCAAGCTCAGGTTTGGCCCAACTCAAGACCAAGCTCAATTTTACTAACCCAAGCCCAACTCAA